GTTGAGGATCAAACCGTATACTAGATAAATGTTCTGCTACTGAACATCCCTAGAATAACTTTTGTGTGTGTGTGTATGTGTGTGTCTGTGTCTGTGTGTCTGTGTGTGTAAGTGGTGTGCATATCTGTGTATATGGGCATACACATGCATGTATTCATGTGTTCTCATGCATGTGGAAGCCAGAGATTGGCATCAGATGCCCCCACTTTATGTATGCATGTTGTATGTATGTATCCACAGCTTGCCACTTCAGCTGGCCTAGCTATCCCGCTTGCTCTGGGAACACCCCACCCCCACCCCCCACCCCCGTCTCCACTTCCCTTGAGCTGAGGTTACAGGTGAGCTGCTGTGTCCACCCAGCATTTATGTGGTGATCTGGACTCCAGTCCTCACCCTCACATGCCAAGTGCTGCTGAGCCATCTGCCCAGACCCAGGATTAGCTCTTTAAATAAGCACATCGCTGCAGTCTCAGTTGGGTCTATTTGGATGGGATTTGAGTCGTATTATAAACCTGATTCCTTGTGATATTCGTCTTCCTAATGCAGTTTCCTGACTGTAATGGTTTTATCAAGGGAATCTCCATTCTTTCTAACCCATCCCCACTGCCCAATGACTTCCCCATAAATAACTTTTTTTTTCCTTTTTTTGCTTTTGTTGATTTAATTCTTGGGGTTTATTTTGGAGAAAATTCCCTTGAGTAGGGATTTTCAGCCAAAATGTTTTATGGTTTCATTTACAGCATTTCACAGAAATAAATCATTGCATACTTTTATTGTTGTTTTCTTTTTATCTTTGAACTGGGGTCTCACTGTATAGTCCAGGCTGGCCTACAATTCTTGGATTCAAATAATCCTCCTGCCTCATACTCCAGGAGAGCAGAGTAGCTCAATTCTTTTTTTAAATTTATTTTTATGATTTTAAAGTGTGAGAGTGTGTGTGTGTGTGTGTGTGTGTGTGTGTGTGTGTGTGTGTGTGTGTACAGGTGAATACAGGTGCCTGAAGAGGCTGGAGGAGTCAAATGTTCCCGGAGCTGGAGTTCTAGGTGGTTGTGGCTGCCTGACATGGTTACTGGGAATCAAACTCAGGTCCTCAGAAAGAGCAGTCCATGTTCTTAACCGATGAGCCATCTCTCCAGAGCCATCAACTCACTGTGTGTGTGCATGCATGCACGCGCGCTGACCTGTGGTTCCCATCCATTCCAACCATTTGAGAATGTGACCAGACGATTTGAGCTCTTCTGGGCCATTAATAAACTTACCAACAGATCACAGTTGAAAATGGAGATTTTTCCCCCTTCTAAGTTGCCTCCAAACTCCCTGCTTTCCTTCTCTGGGCTTCTGGAGAGGAACACTCCCAAAGCCTCTTGTCTGTTCTCAGAAATTCATCCCTTCTTTGCTCTTCAGGGAAGGCCATGTTCGCACATGGAAACCCAGGACCGTATTGTATGCAGATGCTGGGGTGCCGCCAGATCACTGAATGGAAAGAGTTGAGGCCTTTAAATCATATTTTAGAAGCCTGGACACAAAAGAAGAGTCTCTTAAAATTTAAAAAGAAAAAAAAAGCATAAAGATTTTGGCATTGAGTTTCCAACTCAAACATTTCCTGTGGGGTTCAGCTGTGTTTCCAAACTCCTGGATGGGGAGGGGCTGGAGTTGAGGGTGGGAGGGCGGGAGGGAGGGGCAGAAGTCAGAGATCAAACTGTGTGCTCATGAGCCATTGAGAAAAGTGAGTGCATACAGGAAGCTAGAATAAAGCACAACATGAAAACTCAATCCCAGTGGCCTGGGATAGTCCTGGTAGCTTGAGCCAGGAGTGTTTCTTCTCCCATGTATAATTCCCACTCCGGCTTTCATTTTAAGATGAGCATAGCTTTAAAGTCATTGTGCGCTTCCTTGGCTCTTGCCCTGTAGGAGAGCAGTCCAGGTGTGATAGGTGCCGTTAAAAGCTCATCTTCACCATTGTATGCTTTGTTAGGAAGGGCATGAGGGAAGCCTTCCTGCTGTCATGTCTAGCTTGGAGAGCTTCTTGCACAGTGAACCACTGTGGACTAGAGGGCTGGATTCTCTCCTTTTGAAAACTGCTATAGTGTCTGCAGAGACTGTGGGGAAAGAGAGTCCTGAGGTCCTGCCCAGGCCTGCAGTTTCTGTGCAGGCTCACTCCCCATTCAGTGGGGAGAGGAGGGGATGTCCTGGTACACAGGCCACAGCCCCTTAGCGAGGCTGGCGGTGGGAGAAGGCTGATGTTCGCTGCTGTCCCTGATGGAGATGTCTCCTGCTGAGGAGTGGGAACTAAAGGGACTTCTGGAGGTTGGGCCTGGCTCACAGGGGCTAACTTGGCTGCTCCAGACTTAGAGAAGAAGTGGAGGTCCAGAGGGAGCTGAGAGTCTGATGTCCAGAGACCCAGGATCTGATTCCTAGGGCAGACTGAGGGCCTTGGGATGCCAGGGAGGTAGGCTGAGGATAAAGTTCCTACACTCGAGTGCTCCCTGGCTGTCCTGGTACTGTGTGGTGTCCATGGCCTGCCCAGCCAACTTCTTTTCCTTTGCTGTTATTTGCCCTTAACCTCAACTGCTCCAGCTCAGCCTCCTGAGGAGGAGGCTTGAGGAGACCCCAGAACATCGAGAGGGTTCCTAATAGGGTCTAGACTGCTCCATAGGTCCTGGGCTGCTCCAGCCGGAGGCACCTTGGGCTTGGCTGGGGTCCGGTGTTCAGTGACACCCCAACTTGGCACTGTTAGAGAAGAAAGGGTTTGGGGCTGGAGAGATGGGGCCCACTGGATGAAGGGCCTGCTATGAAAGCATGAGGACCTGGGGCTGGATCTCTGTCACCCGTGTTAAGGAGTCTAGGGTGACCACCCACACCTCTAACTGAGCACCAAGCAGGGAGGTCCCTCAGGCTCCCCAGCCAGCCGGTCTAACCAAAATATTGAGCTGTTGTGTCAGTGAGAAAATTAAGGCAAAAATATGTGATTTTTGTCCCCTGGTTTCTATACATGCACACATGTGTGCAACACACACACACCAACACACACATGGACACAAACACCAGAACACACAAAAGGGGTCCTTGTTAAAGCATTATATGGCAGTATCAATTCTAAATAAAGCATAGCAAAGCATAAAGAGGGGTCCTTTTATAGCCAAGGACCTTTGTGGACTGTCAGTAGATCAAGTAGTACCAAAGGGGAACTCTGGTTAAACTCACCAGACAGAAACAGGACTTTTGCTGGAGGCAGGTCAGAGTGGGCAGACATCACCTAGAAGCTGATGGAGCATGAGGAACCCCACCAGGATTCTGGAGTGGTCAGAAACCAAGGCTTAGGGTGGGGGAACAGGTTGCTAAATTGACTTCAGTTCATGGCTAGCACTGAATTTTACAAGGAAGCACAAAATGGACCCAAGAGATGGCTCAGAAGCTTGATTTTGTTTGATCAAGCAGAGGACCTTACCTCCCAACCCTTGATCCCCTTTCACTTCCTGTAGCACAGTGCTTAAAAGTTACCTCTCAGAGCTCGGCGGTGGTGGTGCACGCCTTTAATCCCAGCACTCAGGAGGCAGAGGCTGGAGGATCTCTATGAGTTCAAGACCAATTGGTCTACAGAGCAAGTTTCAGGATAGCCAGGGCTACACAGAGAAACCCTATCTTGGAAAATAAAAAACAAAACAAATAAAACAATTACCTCTCAGGCTGGAAAAAGCACCCTTCAGTGATAAGGCATGTATTTTTAGCATCAGTCTGGGTTCTATCCCCAACACCTCAAAAATATATATAAATAAATAAACAATACTTTTCCCCCTTTAAAAAAAGACTTGTTTTTAGTGTGTGCTTGTGTTTTTTGGTGTGTGCACCAAAGATGAGCAGAGGTGTCTGTGGAGGCCAGAAGAGGGCATCAGGTCCCCTGGAGCAGGAGTTACAGGTGGTCCATGTCAGTCCTCTGGAAGAGCAGCAAGTGCTCCTGGCCCCTGAGCCGTGTCTCCAGCTCCTAAATTTACGTCTTTGTGTTTGAGCCGGAAGCACCAATGCTAATGCTGGTGAGTGCACTACACAACTCAAGTTAGCAGACTTGTGTAGTTGGCTTTGTTGGCTTTTAGGGTTCCTGACTACCGTTGCCACGCCACTGCCCCCCCCCCCAAAGAAAAGAGTTAATGCCCTCTGTATCCTTAGGGACTTCAGCCCTGGCTCATCTGGGATGAGATGGTGGGCCAGTTGCTCTTCTCTAACCCTAGCTTCTTCCAAGCTTCCATTGCCTCACTGGGGACGACTTTAATTCTGGCCCCACAAGTTGCCCTGTGGCTGGGTAGCTCAGTGGTGCAGCATGTGCTTAGCCAGCAGGAGGTTCTGAATTCAATCCCCAGCAACCAAAGATTTGCTAGGAGGTCAGATCAGGCCACGAGCACACCAGAGCTGTCCCTGTGAGTTACCACAGTAGCATGCCATCCCTGTGGCATTTCTTTTCTTCTCTCCCATGTCCAGCACAGGGCTGGGCATGCATGGAGACTTTTGTTAAATTCTACTGAACCGAATTATCTAGGCCAAGGATCCCTGGGGAAGGAAGAAAGGAAAATGTCATAGTGAATTAGGCCAGGACCCCAAGACGATGGGAGAAAGGTTCTGTGGAGCTTCCTGGCTGAGGAGAGGACAGTTCTTGGGGGCCCAGAGAGCCACCACAAGGGCCAGTTTTAATCTACCCCTGCCCCAAAGCCTCTCCTGTATGCCCTCCACTCTGCTTCTCTTGCCTGGCAGGCAGCCACCTCGGTTTCTTTTCCTACTGTGCTTGAACGTGTAACAGCAGAAACCTGACGCCTTCTGTTGAGGACTCATCAGTCATAATCAGAATCGTTCAGTGGTTGTTATTGCTTTCCTTCCCATTAGAAAAACCGCCTGTAGAATTTAATGACCTTTAAGATGTGTTCTGGAAAATACCAGAACCGTGGTGGAGTTTTCCACTCCCCTGTTCTGCAACTGATCTTCTCTCCCAACTTTTTGTCTTCTTGGTTCAGAAGTTGGATGGAGTCGCCAAGCTCCGGACAGTTCGGGAAGCCCCCTCCGAGTGCGTCTGTCCCCCAGGTAAGTGACGGTTCTGTTCCTTGCTGGCTCCTGACATCTGGAGGCCTAACCCGTCTCCCTGCCATGTGGTTGTGAAATACTCAGGTCACCCTCAACCAAGAGGATGGTCTGGTGCTCCAGGCTGTGGCCCTCTGGGGACGATCCTGGGACCTTGCCTCCTTGGCTTCTCCAGGCAGGTGGTTTGTCAGACTCCAGCCACGAAGGCTGGTGTGTTTTGATCAGTAGCATTGGCTGGAGCTCTCAGGGAGTATTAAAACTGGCCTCAAATAAGGCCTCAGTGGTGGGAAAGTACCCGCCCTCTGAATGAGCGAGTCTGCTGAATGAGCCAGAGGAGCCACCCCCGGCCTGCTGCGTGATTGCCGTGAACCACGCTCTGATTGGCACAGAGAGGGAACAATTCATTGGTCGAGCCTGAAGCTGGTTTTTGTTGTTGCTGCTTTGGGTCGAGGAAGAGGATGGGACCAGAAAAATCAGTCTGGGCCTTTTGGGTGATCAAGTCTCCTCTGTTTTGCTGGTGTGGACTGTGGGGGCCATGGATAAAAACCTGGGCTTCTGAGTACCCCATCCATGTGGCTCAAATCCAGACGCATAGTGGGAATGAGCATGGAGCCCTGTGTGACCGTGGCTAAGAGTTTGGTATGGAGTTTCTACTCTGGGCTTCCAAGGTTGGACTGAGTCTTGCTTAGGATGCTGTGTGACATGGAGAGGGAGGAGGGAGGGGCTCATGGCAATGTGTCTCATGCTGGAAGGGGTTTTCTCTGTGTGTGTGTGTGTGTGTGTATGCATATGTTCGTGTATATACGCACATGTATGTGGAGGCCAGAGGTTGATGGTGGTGTCTTCTTCAGACACTGTCCACCTTAATTTTTGAGTCAGGGTCTCTCACTGAACTTGAAGCTCTGCTGGCTGACCAGGAGCCCCACGACCCACCTGTGTCTGCCCCCCAGCATTAGGGGGTGACAGTGAATGCTAACCCACAGAGCTTTTTACATGGGATCTGAACTTGGGTCCTATGCTTGTATGGCTAGCACATCATCCCCTGAGCCATCTCCCCAGCCCTGAGCTGTGGTGGCTTTTGTAACTAGTGTAGAGCAGGTGGGGGCTGAACCAGTGTTCTCCACCAGCATCTCCCAGTTTACTCCAAGGTACCCAGAAACCATCAGTGTCTCAGGGTTAGGGGCTTCCTCTGCAAAGGTGGATCTGATGGGAAACTCTGTCTCTGGACTCAGTGGAAGATTTCATGGTTGAGTTTGAGCCTTTAGTTGACCCTGAGATTCTGAAGAGGAAACATAATGTGGCCAGTAGTGATTCATGGGTCAGAGTTCAGAGATTATACTTAAGTGGGGGGAAATTTAAACCCATCAATGAATTTTAAATGATCTATAAAATTTGTAAATGTGTATCTTTCTTTTCTTCTTTCATTCTTTCTGTATATTGGGTATAGTCTATCTTCATGGGCTCTGATCGAAGAATTAACCTGAGATTCAGCCAAATAGGAGTTAAAAATATCCTGTCATCATTTCCTAACAACTATAATATAACAGCTACTTGTATGTTATAGGTCATCTTGAGATGATTTAAATATTCAGGAAGACGTGCATAGCCTATGCAAATACAATGCAGATGCAAATATGATGCAAATACCCATGCAAATACAATGCTGTTTTATATAAATGACTTAAGCACCCTGTAGGGAGATGGACAGGTTCATTGAAGCACTCTCCCATGGATACTAAGGGACCCTTTTAAATTTGTGTGATTTATGTAAATAAGTGTAGGTTTTTTTAAAGTGTGTGTGTGTGTGTGTGTGTGTGTGTGTGTGTGTGTGTGTGTGTGCGCATGCGTGAAGGCACCTGCAGAAGCCAGAAAAGAGCAGCAGATCCCCTGGGGTTGGAGTTATATGGGTGCTGGGAACCAAACTCTGGTCCTCTGGAAGATTAGCAAGCGCTCATAACCACTGAGCCACCTCTCCAGCTCCTATAAGTGTGTTTTTAAACTGGGACGCACAGCCATTCAGGAGATATCATTTCACACTCCGCAACCAGCATTTTGGACTTCTACACTGTTACAGAGTGAAATAAAACATCCTAGATTGAAAGTCTGATTATTGACATCTGTAGGTGTGGTCTACAATGAGACCGTTGCCGGCCATACTTGCTAACAGAATCTTCACTGGTCTCAAATATGGCAGCGAGGTGGAGAGAGGAGGAGGAGGCAGTGAGGGGGGCACCCCACCCTCAGTGCCATGCTTCAGTTGCCCTGAGGGTGCCTGACTGTGATGTCACAGCCAGTGCGGCTCTAGGGATGAAGCAGCAGCATCTCACTGGGGCCTACTACCCGCCTGTGTCCACATCTCGCCACCCCCAGTCTTAGTTCTCGCTTGAGCCTTTCAAGTCCTTCATCGACACAAAGCCCCCGTGGCCTGGCTTGCGCTGCCTGAGACTAGAAAAGCCCTTCCCAGCAACACCAGGGGCCCGAGTTCCCTCCCTCTCTTCAAAGCTCTGATCAAAGAGCTCTGAAGACTTTTAGGGCTCTGGAGACTCAGAGGACCCTCTGTATCGTGGGTCCCCATCTGATCTGAGACACAGGCAGGTCACCACCCAGCTCCTTCCCACGGCCCAGGGAAACAGTGTAATCTTTTGTCAGATCCCAGCAAAGGGAAGGCAGATAAGCAGGGCCGGGGAGGGGCAGCACGTGTGTGTGTGTTGCCCGTTGTGGGCGCTGCCTGTCGTGAGCTGGCTGTGCAGGGCCAGTGGCATGGTGAGCTTCAGGCAGGAAGATGGCCCATCCCTCGTGCCCACATCTATTGTGGGAGGACTTTCAGGGCTGTGCTGAACAGGCTCGGTAGCTTCTGGTGGGTAAAGGGCCCCTGAACCTTCACCTCACCTACAAAATGATGTAGTGTATCCGACTGGTTTCCTCAAAAAGATATACTCAACTCCTGGTGTCTGGTTCCTGAGAATGAGACTTTATTAAAATAGAGTTTTTTCAGTACCCAGCAAGCAGTTCCTTATCTGGTAGAGGATGCTCTTCAAGACCCCTAGTGGATGCCTGAAGCTTTGGATAGTATGGAATCTCATTTACGTGTGTGTATGTACATCCATATGTATGCAATTCCAAATATAGTGAATTTATATGATTGCATGCAAATAAATGTGCATTTTTTTTCTACACATACATGCTATGCTGGCTGGTCTTACTTCAACTTGACACAAGCTAGAGTTATCTGAAAGGAGGGGACCTCATTGAGAAAATGCCTCCATAAGATCCGGCTATAATGCATTTTCTTAATTAATGATTGATGGGGAAGGGATCAGCCCATTGTGGGTGGTGCCATCCCTGGACTGGTGATCCTGGGTTCTATAAGAAAGCAGGTGAGCAAACCATGGGGAGCAAGCCAGTAAGCAGCACTCCTCCATGGCCTCTGCATCAGCTCCTGCCTCCAGGATCCTGACCTGTTTGAGTTCCTGTCCTGACTTCCTTCAGTGATGAATAGCAATGCTGAAGTGTAAGCCAAATAAACCCTTTCCTCCCCAAGTTTCTTTGGTCCTGGTGTTTTAGCTCAGCAATAGACACCTAACTAAGACTCATACCCGTGGTGAAGTTTGACCTATGGATTAGACAATGAGAGATAAACAATAGCTATCAAACATGATAGAATAATTGTAATAAAGGTTATGTGAACGGGCCCTTTCTCTCTCAAAATGTCTTATCATACTCTCTTCTTTTTATCTGAAGGAAGCACTTTGTAGCTTTCCTTGCAATGTCCAAATTGTCAGCTCAATGCTCTCGCACTGTGGGGCCCATACTAAAATAAGGGTTACTTGAGCACCAGCACTGAGGAGCCATGACAACCAATGTGGTGAGCAGGATCAGGGTGATGGGAGACTTCGCCATGCTACTCGGAGTGGTGTGTAGTCGGACATTCTTGAATGACTTATTTCTGGAATTTTCTATTTAAAGTTTCTGGACCTTGGTTGGCGGTGGGCATTTGAAAATGCAGAAAGTAAAATCTCAGAGATTGGAGGTTTGTAATAATTAAGATTAGAATCTTGCAGCAAGATCTCCCATGATCAGGGTGGGCCCTATTCAGGGCCCTTGTGCCCTTCGACGAGACAAGAGGGAGACACAGAGATGCAAAGTAAAAGACCACGTCAGTGCAGCCAAGATGGGAGTGGTACCATAGCAAGCCAGGAAACGCTCATTTTCCTCAGGGCTTTCAGGGGAAGCCGTCCTGCAAACACCCTGAACTTCTGGCCTCCCAATTTGCTCTTTTTATACACCTGATTTGTGGCAAATGTTGCTGCTACAGCCCTAGGGATGAAAACAAATGGAAGCAATAATCACCCCAAAGAAACCAAGCATGGCGGCACATGCCCGTAACCCCGCGTGGGTGCTCCCGGGCAGCACGTCCTGTGGTTGAACTTTCATGCCCACCTATTCACCCATCCCTCCGTGACCCTGTGTCATTCAGTACCTGACGCTGTCTGCGCTCTCGGGTGTGTTGGTATCTTCTCTTCTTACTTTATGTAGCCGAGGGTTTTTAAATGTAGTTGAGGTTTTAAAATGTGTATGTATTGAATGGGGAGTAAAGCATGACAAGCTGGTCAGTGGTGGCGCACACCTTTAACCCCAGCACTTGGGAGGCAGAGGCAGGCGGATCTCTGTGAGTTCGAGACCAGCCCGGTCTACAGAGTGAGATTCAGGACCACCAGGGCTACACAAAGAAAACCTGTCTTGAAAAACAAACAAACAAACAAACAAATAAATAAATAAATAAAATTTGAAGCACTACAAAAGGTTATGTTGGAGCACAGTCCTCACACACACCCAGATCCCCTTCCCATTTCAAACCCCCTCCCTTCATTTAGGTTACTGTATGCCCTTGTGATTAGAATGTGAAGTGTCCCCCACAGGCTCATATGCTTAAACACCTGATCCCCAGCAGGTGGCGCTATTTGGGAAGGTTGTGGAACCTTTGTGGAGCCTTGCTGGAGGAA